ACTTCCATAGTATGCCCGATGAGTTTGGCAAACATTTTGTTAACTAGCCTTTGATATGTGGCCCCAGCGTTTTTAAGACCGAATGGCATCATGGTGTAACAATATAATCCTCGGGCTGAATAAAAAGATGTATGTTCTGCTTCTTCAGGATCCATAGGAATTTGGTTATATCCTGAATAGGTATCCATAAAGCTCATTAATTCATGTCCGGCTGTGGCATCCACCATGTAGTCGATATGCGGTAAAGGGTAACTGTCCTTAGGACAGGCTTTATTTAAGTCGGTGAAATCAATGCAGAGTCGCCATGCACCAGAACTCTTTTTTACCAGAACGGGATTTGACACCCAAGTCGGGTATTTTGTTTCTTGAATGAACTTGTTATCGATCAACTTTTGAACTTCTTCTTCGAGAGCTTTTTGTCGATCAGGACCAAGTTTGCGCCGTTTTTGGATTACTGGTTTGATTGTTGGATCCAAATTGAGTCGGTGAGAAGCAACCTTTGGATCAATGCCTTTCATATCTTCATGTTTCCAGGCAAATACATCGGAATTGGCTTTGAGGAATTGAATGAGCTGAGTTCGCATTGGTTCTTGAAGATTGGCCCCAATTTGCACCGACTTGTGACAGACGGGATCATCGATGAATATTACTTCAACTCCTTCTGATGGTTCAGCTCGTTCGGGTTTGCTTTTTTCCTTGAATTGGATTCGAGGATCAAGTTCATCTTCTTCTTTAATTGGTTCTTTTCCAGGACGTCGTCCACGATCACAAATTAGATCATTATTTGATTTCGTTGGGTCAAGTTCCATCTCGGTATTACATGATTCCGAGTTGATGAAAGTTGAATCTTCTTGGCTTTCCTCGATATTCTCTACCATGTGTATAGGTGTGCATGGTTCATGCCAAGGTTTGACCCATACCATTCCACGAGCTTCGTACTGATCTCCGTAATGAGTTCCTTCTCCATTGTTGGTGGGAAATTTCAGAGCATAATGAAAGATTGAGACAGCTGCACGAAGTTTATATAAAGCAGTCCTCCCAATGATGGCGTTATATTGATTTTTAAGATCCATCACCTTGAACGTTTCCATAATGACTTTGGAAGCTTGTCCAGGAATTCCGAACCGGATTGGCATAGTAATTTCACCAAGGGTCGATGTAATCGTTCCATTAAAGCCTTGCACCTGGTCTTTGCAGGGTTTTAACTCGGCTGGATCGATTCCCATTTGCTCGAATGTACGTAACATTAAGATGCTTGAGTATGCTCCTGTATCGGTATACCGCAAATGGGTGCCGTGATTATTAGAGGATCAGCATGAGGGTGAGCGAAGTAACTTGCATCATCCACATTGAATGTTATCGGACAATTATTTCGAGCATTAATTTTATCTCGGAGGTCGGTAGTCAAAATAGTTTTACCCGAATTAAAAGCCTTTCGAGCGTACGCCTTCATTTGCCACCGTGATTCAAACGTTGCATTGCTACTGTTATTGACCCGAGGTACATGGTGTGAATTGTCAGGATTATAGTATCCTCCTTGACACATCGTTTCAATAGTTCTCATCGAATCTCTTTCTTTTTGATTCATCATATATATTTCTTTATTACTTGACCTCACCCGTTTTGGATTAATTGGATGTTCCTCATCGTCATCATCATCTGGTAAATCCGGCATTCTTCCCTTTCGTTTATAATCAGCATTTTTGGCAAATCTTTGGACTTGAGGGTGTCCAATAAGTCGCAATAAGGCGGAAAGTAAACCAAGGCATTCATCAGTATTATGGCCTGCCGACTTATGGTATGAACAATATCTCGTTTTATCAAGTTTTTCTTCAGGAGTTCTGACAGGTCGAGGATCAGGAAGAATTCCTTTCCCTTTTAGTTCTTCAAATATAGTTGCTGCTCCTGCCGAGAATACCGTCTGGTAGCTAGATTTGACTTCATTAAGATATTTAGTTCTGGCTTCTTGCACTTCATGCATCTTTGGATTCCCAAATCGAGACTTATTTGATTTGAAGAATTTACTTTTCTTCTTTTTTGACTCTTGCCCGACTTCCGACTTCAGCGAGGAAAAGTCGATATTGGGAACCGACATTGATTCTTTGGCTAAAATATGCTGTTGAGCCCGAGCTAGAAAATCTTGAAATGAGGTTGGTTTATTCTGGCATATACTCCACCGGAACAACGAATTTGGCTTCAATCCGGCTATGGTTGTGACCAATAGCGTTTCAGGATGGCATTGCTCCATATTTTGTATGCGTTCGTTGAACCGAGTAATATAATCTTTTACACTTTCATCATCTTTTTGCACTATATTCGCGATTGATTCTTTGGGAATTAAAGAAACTCGGGCCCCGATAAAATGAGAGCGAAAAGCCGTTCTCAATTGCTGCCACGTGGAAATTGAATACCGAGATAGAGAATGATACCATTTTTGGGCTCGAGGTCCCAAAGTTAAAGAAAACATTCGACATCTGAGTGTTTCATTTGCTCCATGAAGATCCATCCAAGATATGTACTGACCAAGATGAGCATCAAGATCGGAAGTTCCATCATATAAGCCGATTTGTGGGACTTTTACTTTAGTTGGAATAGGCTCCCTAGTTAAATGAGGGGCCAAAGGAGTTCCAACCTCTTGATACATTTCTTCTGTCATTGGAATTTGTCGTGGTGACTCTCCATGGTCATCGTGCCGAGTTTCTAACTCAGCAATCCTCTTTCTAAGTATCTCCAGCTCTTCTGATTCACGTCTTAAACGATTTCTTTCGATTTGACGACGTAACTCATTTTGCCCACGACGAGTATGGTTCTGTTCAAGAGTATGTCGTAAATCAGAGGGTTGATCATGTCGTAAGATTTCGGGCAACGACGGAGTAGGTTGTCGTGGTCGATGCCCAGAATGGCTTTCTGCAGTTGCTTCTGATCGAACTGCTTCAGGAATATGTGTTCGTACAGGAATTACTCCACGATTTTGAGTTGCAATATCATGTTGTGACGTATGTGTACGTGGATGGGAAGTTGCATGTGATGTAACAGGAATTTCTTCCTTTGCGAAACTGGTGCTGGACGGGTTTGAAGATTAACTGCTGCAGTTGGTTCTATTCTTGTTCGTGCCATAAAATCAGTTAAATTTTTCAAGAACTCTGGATCTTGAAACAAGGCTGAATAATTAATCGATGTAGATGGCACGGTTGAATTTCCAGTTGTGTGAGTTGGGTGACGATTAACTCCAGCATCTGGATTACGTTCGTTTCGCCCAGAATTCGACATCCTTGTATTATATTGTTTATAAGACAAACAATCGAAGGCGGGCCGCCTTCCTTCTAGCGCCAAACTGTTGTTGTCTTGAATTAACAACTTAAAATTAAACACAGCAGGTGTCAAGAAAATTAGGATAATTGTTCAATTTGATTTTATTTGTTATAATCACAAGAGTACAGAAGTCGGTTTTAGACTGAAAACCGAGATCGTCTTTAGTTCGTGTACAATGTGTTCGAAAAGATCCTCGTACTATTATAAATTCTGCTATTTATAGTACGGTGGCTTTTGTTTTCTTGCTCGAAATGGATAAAGACGCATTTAATGTTGAGCTGCTTCACTTGAAGCGGTGGGAAACATCAATGATTGCCTTTCTGTTTTGTTGGTCCAATCAGATGCTTCTAATGATTACATTCTGTTGGAATATTTGGACTCTGTGGTAGTCGGTTGAACTGTAGTCGGTTTATTTGTGTCGGCTTTAGATATTGGATCTTTCGAAGACCTTCAGAAGTCGGTAACCATGCAGAAGTCGGTAATTAGTTCCAATAAATACCGACTTTCAGTAAGTTCATCTTCTTAAGATATTATTTCTTCAATAGAGTATTTAATCTCCATCTTCAATTTCTTTTATCAAGTCGGATATCAACACGATTCTTTACCGGTGATTCCTAAAAATTCTTTTACCAGATCTTTTGCTAATTCTCTTAACATTGCTATTTTATATTCTGCTCCTATTTCCGAGCTACTAGCTTGAAGGTTTAATAGAATATGAGTGTTATCTAAATAGTCAAATAATACTCCTGATGTTTTGTATTTTGCATAATTGAAGAAATCTAATAATGTCATTCCACTTATCATTGGATCATTAGTTTGAACTAGTAATTTTAGTTGATTAGTCCAAGTGACTATTAAATCTTCTGCATTGGTTGCACAATCTATATTTAATATTCCGTTAGACAAATGTCTTTCTTTTTTTAAATAAGAGGGTGGTACATTTTTTCTCAGTTTCCCTTGACTATAACTATAGTCGCTTTTATATGTAAAATCTGTAAAACTTCTTTCTGCATAATTATTTTGTGAACTAGATGCTTCATTATTATTTATCCTAGGTCGTTTTGGTGATAATGGTGGTGTTGTCTGAGGTTTTGATCAGTCATATTTAATGTGGGTTCATCTTCATCTTCACTATCTATTCCATATATTATTCCATGTTTATCTTCATCATCTATTTTTGCCATTCTAGTTTCTTCTATATTACATTTTTCTAATAACTGTGATAATCTATCTATATCATCCATTTATACTTGTTGGTGGTTCGATACTAATTCTTCTTTTTGATTTATATGAATTAGTTTGTGCATTTTCTTTTTGTAGCAAAAAATCATGTAATAATTTTATTGATTATTTGATCTAATTTTTCTAATGTTTCTAATTGAATTTTCTTTATTATTTTCTACTAATGTTTCTATTAATTTGTTCTAAAACTCGCGGTTGATTACTCATTATTTAAATATTTTCTTAACCTTTTTCTTTTGTAAAGCAAAATAGGGTGTGTATAATTACAAAAATGACACTTGTCAAATTTTGTATGGGTCACTGCACTACCATTACTGGTAGCATAGAATTTTTTCCTGTCGTCGACAGATAAGTCAGCAAATTTCACATGTATTTATTATTCGTCCAAAAGAAGTGGAAAAATAACATAAATACACATATTGGTGAGATAGGCTTTCTAGAGTAATATGCATTTTGAAATAGAACATGGGCTGCCCAAGGCTGATCTTATCTAGTAAGTATTCATTGTCATTCTAATCAAGTCTTAGTTATCATTAGATTTTTTTCTTTTTCACAAGTCGAGCTGGTTCATTGGATCATCTCGCTTTAGGTTTTTCGAATGCTTCCAGTCATTTCGAAGCCTCCGGGTCGTTTGTGTACTTCTGGGTCCAGTCTTCTTTAGACGGCCTTCAGGTCGTCTTTGTGAGAGTTAGATCGTCTAACCACTCGGTCGACCCATTTATACTTGGTGTTTTTCCGGAACCCAATTATGACTATACCAAATGTATTCCACATTTTCGCTTCCTTATAGTTTTTTNGCTAGACGCGCTCAATTAGGTGAAATTTTTGAATTAGATCGTGCGACTTTGAAATCGGATGGTGTTTTTCGTAGCAGCCCAAGGGGTTGGTTTACTTTTGGACATGCTTCGTTTGCTTTGCTCTTCTTCTTCGGGCACATTTGGCATGGTGCTAGAACCTTGTTCAGAGATGTTTTTGCTGGTATTGACCCAGATTTGGATGCTCAAGTAGAGTTTGGAGCATTCCAAAAACTTGGGGATCCAACTACAAGAAGACAGCCAGTCTGATACAAGACTGCCACTTTTGTCTCTTTCGCCTTTCTTTTTTGAGTGGAGGGAATTTTCCATAGAATAGAGTATTGGAGTGAATTTGAATCATTTTTGATTCTTGCTCTTTCGAAATGATTCTCAAAATGAAAAAACCCAATGATTTCAAATTCTGAATTCAAATTCAGAATAAAGGATCTAAGAACAAGTAAACACCATTTTAATTGTCTCGATAGTCTCGCCCACTGGATCAGACTAAAGAATCCAAATAGAATTTGAAATGAGACAAAGAGAGGGGGGATTCTTAAACCCCTTTCACGCTCATGTCACGCCGAGGTACTGCAGCAAAAAAAACAGCAAAATACGAAGGAGTGCGGTTCGTTCGAGAAATTCCTACCTCTCTATCTATCTCTGAGATGTTTGGATTTTTCAAAACTGCATGGACATGCAGAAGAGAAATGCCCCCCTCTGACCAAGACAGAACTTTTACTTGTTCAAATAACAATTAAGGTGAAGCAGGGTCAGGTTTTTGATCAATAACATCAGTTGCAACTTTTTTTAGATATTTTCCAAGAAGGATACGATAAATTCGATTCGTTCCAAAATTTTCTGCGGATTTGTCTACATTTTGGCATCAATCCAATTTCCCTTAATCGACTTTTTCAATACAGTTTATGGAAAGACAGGAATGGTTAAACAAAGATGTCAGTTCCTACTTTCACACAATTCACAGGGAAGCAATCGATATTTCAGGATCAGGGGTGTAATACTCTGTATAGTAGCGGTCCTTATATATCGTCTTAACAATCGAAATATGGTCGAAAGCAAAAATCTCTATTGGAAGGGTCTTCTTCCTATACCTATGAATTCCATTGGACCCAGAAATGATACATTGGAAGAATCCGTTGGTTCTTCCAATACCAATAGGTTGATTGTTTCGCTCCTCTACCTTCCAAAAGGAAAAAAGATCTCTGATAGTTGTTTCCTGAATCGGAAAGAGAGTGCTTGGGTTCTCCTTTCAAACTCTTTCGTCGAGTGGGCGATCATGAAACGGATTCTCTTGAGAGAGGCGTAGCCTCGCCACAGTCATCGGCCGGGTTGATTAATTAAATCAGATAGTTATATCAGTGCAATAAAATGGCTCAAAATTTGGCTGTTAAAAGAATTCAATTTCATTTCCTATGTGTCTAGATATTAATACAATTAGATTTGCTCTTCATAGACAAACTTGGGATTTGCAAGCCTCGGTGATATGATTGCAAGCGGCTAAAACGTGATGCAACCTTATTATTAAGGAGAAACAATTTTTAATACTTAAATTTAAAAAAAAAACATATAGTCTAAAATAAAGCGAGTACCTGTACAACACTACAAAAACTGACTGTAAAGAGTTAAAATAAAAGTTTTTTTTTGTCTTCAAAAGGAGAATAGCATGGGCCTAAAACATATTATGTAATCTATTCTCTTCAGACAGGAAAAAATATGGCGAATTAATTGACCAATATTTCTATCAGTTAATGAAGAGCCCAATGCAAAATAAAAATATGCATGTTGGGATTTTGAAATTACTAAGAATGTTTTGATAATAATTAGTTTAATTGGGCGGCCTGGTGCGATTCAATCGGGTCCGGTCTTCACGAAATTGACTTCTATCATGCTGTCATTTTTTTTCTAAAATTTTGATATTTTTAGTTGGACTTTTTCAAATATTTATTTTATAAATTCTTAGAAATTTTAGAAAGTATTGAGATATCTATAGTAATATAAAGAGGTTGTCGGAAAAATACTTTTATAGTAAGTTTGACTAAAAAAATAAATAGTTTGACTTACTATTAATGGAAATTTCGAAAAAACACATGTACCAAAAAAATTGAGATTTTTATGGTAACAAATTCGGAGATTTTTATGGTAACAAATTTGAAAATTCCTATACCAAAATTTAATTTATTTTAAATATTAATCCATAGAATCTACTTTTATTGGTAACAAATTTAAAGATTGTTATGCCAAAAAATTGAGATATTCCAACAATTACGGATTTTTTCCCATTCAAATTAATGTTGTAAATCAAACAAAAAGTTATTCCATAAATAATGGATGTTATACCAACTATTGATAAACTCCAATCCCATAGGAGATTTCTATTGGTATCTTATGGCAACAAATTGGAGATTCTTATGCCAAAAAATTGAGATTTTAAATTGAGATATCCTAACAATTTCGGATTTTTTCCCCTTCAAATTCATGTTGTAAATAAAACAAAAAATTATTCCGAGAATAATGGATGCTATACTAAATATTGATAAACTCCAATCCATAAGAGATTTTTATGAGTTTCTTATGGTAATAAATTGAAGATTCTTATGGTAACAAATTTGGAGATTCTTATACCAAAATTTAATACATTTTAAATATTAATCCCATAGAAATCTATTTTTATTGGTAACAAATTTGAAGATTCTTATGCCAAAAAATTGAGATTTTGAATTGAGATATCTCAACAATTATGGATTTTTTTTTTCCATTCAAATTAATGTTGTAGATCAAACAAAAAATTATTCTGAGATAATGGATGCTATACTAAATTAATATCACAAGGCCCACACGTTAATGTGATATTAATTAGATAGATAAATTACGTAAATCTTTCCTAACAAAATGCGTTCCAATATTGTTAACCAATTTAATGGGATTTTCTTAACTAATTTTATAGGATTTGGGTAACCACGGGATTTTGTTAGCTTTTCGTGGAAACACGAATCTTCATTATTGATAAGGTTTGATAAGATTTTGTTTCAATTTTTTTTTTTTTGTTTATTTGATAATGTTTGATAAGATTTTGTTTCCTTTTTTTTCTCTCTCTCGAAAATTTGAGTCGTGGATTTGAAAAAAAATAAATAAATAAAAAAACATATCATATTGATAAAGTTTTAGTGTGGGCATAAAAATCAATTTTGATTTGGTTGAACTTTGTTTCATATGAACCTAAGAGAATCAGACGTTTGAAAAAATAAAATATTAATAGTAAATAATCATACCATATTTTTTTTGATATACGGTAATGGAGAATTGAAACTGGAAGGCTATACTGATTCCGGTTTTCAGTCCGATAAAGATGACTATAAATCCATGTCAGGATATTTATTTACTCTGAATGGAGCAGCAGTCAGTTGGAAAAGTTCCAAACAGGAAACGATTGCTGACTCTACTACAGACGCTGAGTATATTGCTGCATCTGATGCTGCAAAAGAAGCTGTTTGGATAAGGAACTTCATCCAAGGGTTGGGTGTAGTACCATCCGTTGTTGATCCAATAATGATTTATTGTGATAACAATGGGGCTATTGCGCAAGCAAAGGAGCCAAGATCTCATCAAAAATCCAAACACATTATGAGGCGATACCATTTGATTAGAGAAATCATTGGTAGAGGCGATGTCGTGATGGAGCGAGTCGACTCAGCAGAAAATATAGCAGACCCCTTAACTAAACCCTTATCACAGAAAGTGTTCGAAGGACATCTTGAGAAGATGGGTCTTAGATACATGAGTGATTGGAACTAGGGCAAGTGGGAGATTGTTAGAGTAGGGTACCCGGCGTTCCAATCTAATTGGACGTATTCTACTTGTAAATACAGTCTATTGGAATTATATTATGAATAAGGCATTTCTTTATCTTAAGAGAAAGCATTTATCTTATAATTGCACTTAAGATAAAATCCCTAGATCACTTATGGTTATAAGGTATGGTTGCGCATAGAGATGGTGATCATGGAACATACCTTGAAAGCCGTGATCTTAAATACAGTTCCAAGTCGATGGATGTTTCGAGATGGGATATCGAATAATCCATAAAAGACTTGCACATAGTTTGTATGCTTGTTGGACAAGAATGTTGCATTCCATCAACATTAGCGTAAGACGTAAGTACATTTATGTGGGTGCTTGTTAGAGAACAAGTTCACTGAACATGACCGTATGAAAATTCTTAATGAAGAATTTATTCAGTCGAATAAGAATTTTCATGTTACAATAGTACATGACTAATCCTAAGACTTGAGGCACAATGGTAACTTTGTGCATATTACATTCTACTTTGATTTATCCTTTTGGTAGCTAGCACTATCGTTTAAAGGGATAAGTTGGGTATTATGTTAATATGTATGGAAGTTTGTTAGTGGCCAATAAAGGATTCGACACTTATGAAGATAAGTGAATTTCCTATGTGTTTCATAGTTATTAATCCAAAGTCCTTGGCCAAGGCAGAGATGAATAGTGATTCATAACCGGGTTAATAAACTTGAAATAGAATCATAGTTATTAAGTCAATTTGGGTTTCGACAAAATCATACCCAAGACTTAATCGGGAAATTAGATGTCGAAAGGATTTTACATGTATGGAGTTGTAATCGGAATAGGTTTACTCGCTATTCACTTAATACTAGATTCATGCTACTTGCTAGGTGTTCCCATGATATGTGGGTTCATGAATTAAAGGGTTAATTCATGAATAAGAGTTAATAAGATTTAACTCAAATTATAAAGTGTTATAAACCCACTACTAGTATTAAGGTGAACCTAAAAGGTCACACTAATTATGAACAAAGGTAAAGATTGTATTTCTAATGGTTAGAATTAATTGATAAATATCTAATTTGATTAGATGTCAATTAAAGGAATATATTAATCAATAAGATTGATTAATTACATTTTGGATATTACTTTAGTAATTAAGGTAATTACTAAATTAATAAAGTTGAATTTTAAAATAGGATTTTAAATTTCAAATCCAAAATAATAATAATATGATTATTATAATATGGATGAAAATTGGGAAAAGAATATAATAATAAAGTCTTGGAATAGATTCTCAAGATTTATTATTCTATTATTATGAATATAATAAATGGTGGTTAATGGTGGTTATGAACCACCTCACATTGTTTAATATATATAAAGTCAATAGTTAGTAATTGTATTTAAATAAAATCAGATTTTATTTAAATATTACTAAATATTGATTA